AAAGTCTATGAGACTGTTATCTCCAATTAACCATCAGCGCTAGCCTTGAGCTGAAGAGCTGAGGGACAGTGCCCAGGCCCAGAGTTCAGGCCCCATGACCGGACCCCCCCAAAAAAAAAAAGAAAGAAAGTTAGGTTTCTTATGATGCTAACTTCAACAGCAGAATAAAACGTACACAAATACTCTGGTACCTTCAGATAATGAAGGGCACGTTCTAATTCATCTTTGGAACAGGAACAAACCAAGTGAGAAAAGATATATTTGAAGTTATTGATTAAAATCTCTCTGCGATTGACATTTAACTGGTTTCCTAAAGTTCGAATGAGGGCAGACGCTGCTGGGCTGGCTTTGGCGGCAAGGTCGGGGAGCAGAACCTGCAACGTCCGCTGAAAAAGAACACAGTGGTCACTTGCATTCTCAGATCAACTACACCAAGAGGTAGTCTTAGATGCCGCATAAATTACAGGAGTCCACACATGACTTCCCCTGCAGTCAGACTTACCATTTATTCACTTGACTGATACCTATGAGTATCTACTATAATTCAGGCACTACCAATACAGCAAAGAACACACTAGGTAAGTGCTGGTGATATGGTAAGTTCACATTGTAAACATGGACAGAGACACAGGAAGGAAGCAAACGTAAACGTAAAGGGGATAATTTCTTATGTGTGTGTTAAAATAAGTACACACTCTAAGGAAGAAGTTCCTAGTCGGATATATTCTTTAACTTATCTTGTATTTACAGAATAACCATAAATGTACCTGGCAAATTTTTATAAAGGACTCAGTGGTGCAATATTAAAGAAAACTTTTAAATGAACCTAATATCCCAATACTGCAGCAAACCTACTTCCATTATGGTTCATTGCCTTTTAAGTTCTCATTCATAACACACACAAAATCCAAACACAGAATGTTTTGGCCTTGGCTGGAGGTGTGGCTCACCTGGTAGAATAGCACCAGCCCAGCAAACATGAGGCCCTGAGAACTTCCAAACACAAATAAATCAAGACATTTGATTTCTTCTCAGGGTTTTATTTTTGTCTGGTTTTGCTGCTTGGAAAATGTGGACATAAACACCTGTGTGGTGGTTCACGTCTGAAATCCTAGCTAATCGGGAGGCTGAGAGTTGAGATCTGAGCTCGTGATTCAAAGTCAGATGGGGCAGGAGATTCCATGAGACTCTTATCTCCAATAAACCACCAGAAAATTGGACGTGATGCTGTGGCTCAATTGGTAGAGCACTCACCTTGAGCAGAAGAGCTGAGGGACAGCACCCAGGCCTAGAATTCAGGCCATACCAAGGGAAAAGAAGAACAACAAAACAAAACAAAAAACAAAATAACCTATGCCCTTTGGAGGAATGAATGAATAAAAAGGTATCTTCTGAGATACCATACCCTGTCATATTTCTTTTTGGAATGTAACAAACTTATAAGCATGAAAACATTCTTTACAGACTGCTATTGTTAACTTATTAAGAGTAGGAATAAACTTTGCTTTGGAGAAAAGAAAACATCTAGTCCATTATAGTTTTTTTTTTTTAATATAATTTTTTTTGTGTGTGTGTCAGTCATGGGGCCTGAACTCTAGGCCTGGGCACTGTCCCTCAGCTCTTCAGCACAAGGCTAGCGCTCTACGACTTGGGTCGGAGTGCTACTTCTGGATTTTTCTGCTTATGTGACGCTGAGGAATCGAACCCAGGGCCTTATGCATGCAAGGCAAGCACTCTACCACTGAGCCACCTTCCCAACTCTAGTCCATTATGTTTTACACCTCAATCACAATGAATTGCCCAATAGTTAGGGCATTTGAACTCACTTTTTCACAACTCCTTAGAGGTGGGAATGACATCAGTCTTTGAATTGCCTGTTTTAAATTACCAATCATAATATTTAAGACATATAGGCTCAAAGAACTAACCAAACCAATTGCATAGCTAACTGTCTAGAATAAGTATAAGCCAACATAAATAGTCTGATCATTTCATATCAAAGTAAAGACACAAAAATTTAAAGATCTAGGATCCACATGATCTCACTACACTTGCCAGATTTTTCCTTAGAAAGAACGAAAGCAAGTAAGCAAGCAAGGAAGGAAAGAGGAAAGGAAGGAAAGGAGGAAGGAAGGAAGGAAGGAAGGAAGGAAGGAAGGAAGGAAGGAAGGAAGGAAGAAGAAGGAAGGCAGGGAAGGAAAAGCCAGGTTATGTAAATGCATAAAATATTGATTGAAAACCTTGATGGGTCATAGGCCAGTGAAACTTACATTAAGGAAACGATTCAGGTCAGGAAAGTCAAAAACATTGGCGATTTCAGACAAGGTATTTAAGGCCATTTCTCTGTGGTGAGCGTCATCTCGCAGTCGCATCTCGGCAGTCTGATACAGGGTGCTACTACCGGAGAGTGCCGCCATCTGACTCGAGTGGAGAGTCTCCACCAAGAACTACAACAAAACAACTTGATTTGTTTCCACCCAAGGAAGAAATTTCAACAAGTACTTTTTAAGCTGCTGGAAAGGACATTATCAACAGTGTATTGTCCAAGTTGGCTTCTTTAGTTCTTATACCAACCTTAATAAAGTGGATGTGTTATAATCTCCCTTTAGTGATGGCAACCAGGCTAAGTAAAACAATGTCACTAATATGCTCAGGATTATAGCACAAATACAGGAAAAAACTATTTTACCATAGTCTAACCTTTCAGCCATTAACTGAATATTCCTTTCTGACAACAAAATGCCATAGCCAAAATATCAAGAGTTTACCATTAAAAAGGCTAAAAAGAAAGGCATTTCACTGGGCGCTGGTGACTCAGGCCTGTAATCCTAGCTACTCAGGAGGCTTAGATCTGAGGACGGTGGTTCAAAGCCAGCCCGGGCAGGAAACTCCTTGAGACTCATCTCCAATAAACCACTACAAAACCAGAAGCAGTGTGGCTCAAGCGGTAGAGCGTTTGCCTTGAGCTGAAGAACTGAGGGACAGCACCCAGGCCCAGAGTTCAAGCCCTATAACTGACAAAAAAAAAAAAGAAAGGAAGAAAAGGCATCTCACTGGACATGGAAGATAGTGTAGTGATTCAAGGAACTCTTACAAGAATTTCCAACTCTTATTTTTGTACTACATCTTCAGGCCAATATGCTAAAATATAAAACTTCAGCTCCTTTAAAATAGATATATAACTTGAAAAATAGTCAAAATAAAATATGCACATATGGCTTTTTCGGTTTTGCCTGTTTCTTTTTCCACGGCATTGCCTGGCATGGTCTCAAACCCAACTAGTTGGGACGAGGAGTAAGACACTGCCTAGCTTCTTCTCTTTCTCTTTGTAAAACTCATGTGAAGACTGCTATCGCCTATAACAAAGATGAATGCTGACTCTCACCTGACAGATGGGCTTCTTATACTGACTGAAAAAATTTTGTAGCTTAACACTTTTAGCTGCAACAAGAGCTCGAATTTCTGTGTATGCTGCTCCAGATACTGATGCTGACTTAGATAACAAACAGTGCAACAAGTGTAAGAGTGCAAAAGGTACCAGATCTCCTTTCGCTGCTCTAAAAAAAGAAAAAGAAAATGACATATTAAACATACTACTGCTTCAGACGAATGCAAATCCACAAATGTACACATGCTAGATCTCATGTTTTCTCTAGAATGTATATTTTGCTTTCTTTTTTTCTTGGAGTACAGAGTGCAGGGCTTCTAGCTAGGCAGGCGTCCGCCACTGAGCTGTACACCAGCCCTCATCATTTCTAGTACTAGGCAAAGGAAAGAAGACAGAGACAAAATCTAGGTAAGAGAGATTGCGAATGTTGCTAATATACCTTCCGATGTCGCCTGTTGTAAGGATCAAGGTATCCTTCAGTTCATTATTGCGTGAGATTTGGGCGTGTGTGTATGCGTCCTTCATTCTTAAGACGAAAAGCTAAACAACAAAATTAAGTGGTTAAAGAAAACTGAGAGCCAGGTTTATGAACACTATTCAAAATAAACATGACCAGGACTCCTGTATAAAAATGATCAGGGCTCTTGTATAAAAATGATCATGATTCCTGTATAAAAATGACCAGGCCCCTCTACAGATGGGGAACCTCATGGCTTTCCCTTCACTTTCAAAACAATTTGAAACATTAAGAAATTAAATAATCAACCTCTTTTATAAATCCATCTTCAGAGTTCAGGGATTCCAGTATGTGCTTAATGTTTCCACTAAACGCCACTCGAACATTCTTGTCTGGATCCTCCATTAAGTTTAAAAAGGCCCCGAGAACCACTTTTACATCTGTTTCATCTTCCTGAAAATCAAGGTGCTTACACAGATGATGCAAATTGTCTATGAAAGCTAGAGGGCAAGAAGATGCATTATTTAATTTCACCTATTACACAGCAAGGTTGTGCAATAAAAATATTGTCAGTAATGTGCTACAAATAATCCCAAGTTACCTTGTCAACACTTAATATTTAAGTATGTACAGCACAGAGTTGCAGGAGATTAAAATAGAACTAATATGGGGAGGTAGGGAGGGAAGGGATGGTAGGGGAAAAACAGAGGAGGAAGTAACAATGCTTGATAGGAAAAGTACTAATTGCCTTACTCATGTAACTGGTAACCCCTCAGTATGGTATTTTTATAAT